GCTGTTGCTAAGCGCGAATGATATATTTGAACTTGTTGCTAAGCGTGAAAAATAACATTTCAATAAAGTTGTTTGTCGCGTTTTTTTTTAATCACTGTTATCTGTAGATATAAAACTGGCACTTGAAAATAATACTTTATTTCATACACAGAAATTCATTAGCGTTGATGAGAAAGGAAAGAGTAAAGAAATCGCGTATTTTGGCCTGGATTTTAACGTTAATATCGGTATTCGATACCTGCTGTGGGTGTAATTAAGATATCCCGTAATGTAGCTTTGCGCTTAAAACAAACAGATGAAGCCTATCGGTCAAAACCTAGCAGATATTAATGTGTTTATGCGTCTTTAATCAACCTAATCAACAAATAGTTTACTAGAAATACCCATTTTTATATTGTGCTATGCTTTTGTCAGTTTCTATTAATAAACATAGTCCAACAAAACAATTGATACTACTAAAAATATTAGCATTTTAGAAATGTAGCCCCGTTGTTTTGATGTTGGTAATATTTAAGTGTATTAAATGAAAAAATTATGTAACCACTTCTGTTTGCTCTACAAAGGTTGAGTACGTTATATTAAAACAATTTTGTAGCCTCGCCACGTCGTTACAGTCCACGTCACCACATCCAGCCTTGCTCTATCAGACAACCGTGCATCTTGACAGTAGACTTGCGACGTAGTTTCCGCTGTAAAAGGCTCCGTCGTCAAACTGTCATGTAAAAAGCACATAACTCTTCCCTGCATGCCTTCGATTAACCATATGGTGTACAGGACGATGGTTTCCCAGAGACCATTTCAACAGTCCAATCGCAAAGAATTCCATAGCCACTGCATCTGGCGATTGGAGTGGTATGTACTCACATGGAATAGCGTGAATACTCCTTTTATTCTCCAGCTACTTAAGGTATGCGACGGTTTAGTGGACATGCCACGGAAGTAACTTGGGAACATGTGCCTTGTGTCGCTCTTCAACACGGAGATCCTGCTTGGTTATGTTGCCTGGACTACGTAGATGGCTTTTGCCATTGACCTTTACGTTTATGAATTTTTATACGTTATAAGACACCGCACTTTGCTTACCACAGCAGGGGTACATTTTTTGGTCTCTTTCTTGATAATCCTGTTACTCAAACTAATCCATATTCCTTTGTTTTGGATTAAATTCTCGATTTGAACACTTCTTTATACCTTGAGTATGAATATTTTGAGTCGAAAAGGGGATAATGCATACCCCTTCCAAAAGCAATCAATTTTCTTTATCATCGTACTACCTACGAAACACCAAACAATGTAGAAATATAGTTGTTATACATGCCGTTCCCCGCAACTTTATATCTACAGTAGCTGTCATGTGACTTGCTTATTTGTATATTAAAAAAC